GTGCAAAGTCAAAAAAAAAAAAAAAAGCAACAACCCCTCAAAGATCCACTTGGCTAATAGCCCTACAGGCTATTGTGGTTAAGGCACTCCAGTTTTTGTAGCTGTAGCACACAAGGGAGTGATGTAGCTGGCACAGCAACTGGCTGCACATTTGACTCCCTATTGCTGTTGACCAGGTGCCCATTCAGATTTGAGTCAACTCAGGACAGTCTGGCTTGAATCGCAAGCAAAGTGCAAATCCACACCTCTGGAGCTGTAGCAAGATGTCTTAACTGCTCTTTCACTGTTGCCTATCCTACCAACTTCCTATGCCCCCACTGCTTAATGGGAGAATGCTGCAAAGCAGGCTTGTCCAACATACAGCCCGCGGGCTGCCACACGGCCCTCCAAGCTGTTTTCTGAGGCCCGAGGTGCTGCAACGAGAAACGAAAGTAAACACTACTTTTGTTTTGGGGGGATGATGCGATACCGCTTCCTGTGAGGTCTTTTTATCACTGGGTGATTAAAAAGTTCATGATCCAGCCCCACATTCAAAAAGGTTGGACACACGTGCTGCAAAGGATTCAGTCTTCAGGGTTTATGCCCTTTCCAATGAGGTGCACAGGCCAATAAGAAGTGCAAACTGAAGGAGTGGTGTTCTTCCTTTGTGTGGGGTTGTTGCTCAGTTAGGGCCCTGCAGATATGAGAGGAAGTAGCATTCCCCAATGGGGACCCTGCAGTGTAGAAGATAGTTGACTCCATGGGAATCCTCTCACACTTCTCCCTTGGGCATCCGCCTGGGTTTTCCTCATAAAAAATTCCCCAGATTAGTGTGACTTTAAGGCCCCTGGAGCTGTGATTTGGCCTCATGGTGCTGGGAGCAATCAAAGAGTAAAAGTTATATGTTTTACCATTTTAGCAGGAGATAAAGCAAGTTGTCCCCAGCAGTGGGGAATTTGTGTCAATTTGAGGTGGGAGTAGATGAGGACAGCAAGATGAGTTATAGGAAATAAGCTAGGCTCTAAGTACAAAAGAGACCACACCTCAGAAAATGGTGAGGAGGGTCAGGAGTAGATGCAGTTTGGCGCTGTACATGATGCTGCAGGTAACTCATGCTTTCCCATGCAAATGCCTACAGTGGTTAGTAGTTTGATCCGATTCTCACAGAAGCTCTAGCTCTACAATGGAAGGACATGGTCACACAGCAAAGTAAAAACAAAGTTCAGATTGTCTTGCCAATCTGTTTTTGACAGCACCTGGGACCACTAAACTAATCTTTTAAATCTCTTTGGCTTTTTGATGGCAGTGATGTGTATTTAGACTTTTACTGCCCTGTACTGTCTGGCCAGTGGGACCAGTCTTAATCCATTTCACTTCCTGGTTCTCAGTATGTGATGCAATAAATTCCATTCCCCCACAAAAGGGAACTGCAGGTTAAATTAGTTTGATGAAAGCATGCGTTTGCCTAGGACCTTGCCATTAGAATCCTTCAGCTTACTTTGAAATGCTTAAGAAGTACAGAAAGACTTCTTAGGGCTGGCTTCATTTTAGGGAGTATATTTATACAGGAAGTGAGCCACCGTCCTACCTGTCAGAACCTCCATTGATTATCCTGCTCATCTCTGACCAGAGCATGGTAGTCTCCCAGATGTCTCTTCAGGGAGCTCTGTCCTACAGTGCTTCTAACTTGGCCTTCTGCGTCGTTTTTAAGAGGTTACCTTTGGTGTTTGCATGGAGTGGGCGTGTCTTGAATTAAATTGACGCCTCTCTATTTATCACACGCTTTAAGCCGTGCTTATGCTTCTGTCTGAGGGTGAGCCAGGAGAGGGGCAATCTTATTCTGCTGAAAATGTTTTGGGTTTTTTTTTCCAACTTTATATGTAAGAGTTTGAACAAAACACAAGGTGGAACTGTCTGTGGAGCAGACACCTTATGATGCAGTGGGTAGACTGCAAGTAGTTGCAGATGCAAACCCAAGGGGAGCTTGGTTGCCTTCAATACATTAATCTTTTTTGTTTCTCTCCTGTTCTTTTTTCC